TGTGTGTGTGTGTGTGTGTGTGTGTGTGTATATATATATATATATATATATATATATATATATATATATATATATATATATATATATATATATATATATATATATATATATATATATATATATATATATATATATATATATATATATATATATATATATATATATATATATATATATATATATATATGGATTGACTCCAGTAAGATGACACTTTATTGTGAGATAACATGCTTCGGTGAGATGATGCAAAGCTCACCACACTACACTACAAAGCTCACCCATGAACAATGCAAAGCTCACCTAGAAATAGAGTAAAGCTCACCACTTTGAACACCAAAAACCACCTTTTTTTTAAATTTTGAAAATTAAAAATTAATAAAAAATAAAATAGCAACACCGGTCAACCACCGGTCAGCGGCGCCGGCAGGCGGCGGAGCAGTGGTGGTAGCCGGCGACCGGCGGCGGATTCCGGCGACAAGCGGTGGTCAAAGGTCTCGGTCAATGGTCAAATTCTAGTCAGCACCCCTTTTCTTTGATTTTATTTTTTCAAAAAAAATTCAAAGTGTTGAAAAAAAATGGTGAGCTTTGTAGTTGTCCTTGTTGAGCTTTGCAGTTGGCAGTGGTGAGCTTTGCGTCATCTGACCGTATCATGTCATCTCACCGTAATCTGTCATCTTACTGGAGTCAATCCCATCTATACATTATTTAAAAAGACATGAATTTTTTCCCGCCCATGCATGAGACTCATATATGGAAAGTGTTAACAACATAAATGGTAGTTTAATTATTTTACCTTAATGTTTTCTTTCCATTTTAAGTATGTTATCTTTATTTTTTTTATTTAAATGTTACACCATTTAAGCATTTAAATTAAATTAAATTAAATAGTAGTGAACCATAAGGGAATTGAAGTATGGAAATAAAATACACTGCCATTTAAATATTAAAATAAAATTTAAAAATTACAAATTAATAAAGTATGGGCAAGATTAAAATGATTTATTTCAAACAAACTACAAATTAATTATTTATCATTAAAAAATATTATAATTTACAAGCACAAACGCGTAAAAATGGTAAGTTTTCTAAATTAGATTAGAAAATAAATATGGTACGGTAAGTAGATGATAACATTTAAATAAAAGAATAAAATAAAAAACTACAAATTAATATTAATACTATAATTTAAAAGAATGGAAACGTTTTAAAAATGACAAATTTTCTAATTAGAAAATTAGAAAATAAATAGATATGGTATAGTAAGCAATTAGCACCATTTAAAAACGAAAATAAAATAAATGGTAAGTTTTCTTAAATAAATTAGGTTAGTGTTCTAAAATAAACGAGAAAATAAAATACTCCCTCCGTTCCCAATTTGATTACAAATTGCGGGTTACGAAGTAAAATTTCTTACTTTTTGAAATCATTTTATTTACAAATTGATATATCAATAAGATATAAAAATAGAAATCACCCTAAATAGGACTAAAACATAGAGAAAAATACTAAAATAGGACTTTCATGTTTTTTTCCCGAAATAAGACTTTGCACTGTGGTAATGTGACTTTGTCCTGTGGTAATGTGACAGTGTACATGTGCAAATTACTATACTTTTTTAGTAATGTATATGATCATGTATGGTAATGTAAGTCCTATTTCGGGAATAAAAACATGGAAGTCCTATTTTGGTATTTTTTCAATGTTTTAGTCCTACTTTGGTCTTTCTCCCATATAAAAATTACATATTAAACAACTACGTCAAAAGTTCTACAAAACAAGAAGTGATAAGAATATTTTATTTTATCAAATACTTAATGAAATCGCGTAAGCAAACAAAAGTTATCGAGAGGAGAAAAAAAATTGTAATCTATTTAGGGACAGAGAGAGTACATCTAAAAATGATAAGTGTTCTAAAATAAATTAGAAAATAATGTGGTTTGGTAAGTAATTAGTACG